GAGAGAGAGACGTGTGTGAGTGTGTGTGTGAGAGAGAGAGAGACGGCGTGTGTGTTTTTTTTAAGTATTTAAAGGGTTTATCTTCTACTAAACTTTATTAGTGTGTCACCTGTCTCAGTTTATGTCTTTATTTACAGCTCAGAGGTCAGAGGTCAAATATTCACAGTCACTCCTCCTCCTGCTGCTTCCTGTCTGACACACACACACACACAGCCTCCCCTCCCCCTTCTCGTTTCCTCCTGCAGGACAAAGCGGCCACGCTGCAGCTAACGGACACACAAACTAATACACACCAAAACTCAGTGTGAACACACGCACACAGGCCGAACGCACACGCACCACGAACGAACACGGGCGCAGAACACGCGCGCGCGCGCGCGCTCTGAGCAGTTTTCAGTCTGAACGAAAAAAAAAAGTCCCGTTTCCGTTTCTCCTCAAACTTTCCTCACGTGTTCAAACACAGCCTCCTGTACACGCTGATCATCGATCGATCGGCGATCAGCGTGTACGACCGATCAGTAGCCGATCAGTGTCTGATCAGCAGGTATCGACGCTGTGATCGATACTCTACAGTAACGGAACAGTCTAAGCGGAAACAAAGCGGAACAGCCCGAGTCCGCCTCCCGCCGCTCCCTCAACGATCACTCATCAATAACTCCTGATCGGACGCGCGCAGCCGTCTGCCCCGATCCATCCGAGAGGAGCGGTGTGCACGCGCCCGGAGAGCATTTCTTTCTTTTTTCCGGTGAACTCACCTTCAGGTTAATTTCCTTCATCCTGTCCTGCCTCCTGCTCTCCAGCAGCCGGGACATTCCCCTGATCAACCGATCCCCGATCAGCCGATGGTCGATCACCTGCCGATCTCCGATTGATCCAGCTGATTGCTCCGGTCTCTGATCAAAGAAGTGCGGTTCTCGTCCCGGAGCGTCCGCGGTCTGAGCGGAGGGGGCGGGGCTTCTCTCTGACTGACAGCGAAGCTCTGCACTTCTAACTAATCACAGCTCAACCCGCTGCTGGGACGCTCGACCAATCACAATCCACTCAGGTCTGCGAGCCCAGCCCCCCGCCAGTTGTCAGGGAGCGCTTCTTTTCTCTACCGGGGCGGGTTGACGATAGTGAGGGTGGAGTCAGTCTCTATGACAACGTGTCTACAGCTCACGTGACCCTCATCAGCCACTAGGACAGCCGAGGGCGTCACGTGACTGATGACTTGCGCGGATAAAATAGACCCGCCCGCGCGGGCGCAGGGTGGACAACCATCGCGGTGTGACGTGGAACCCCGGAGGTCAATCCCCACCCACCGCGCGCGGAGACTGGAGTACATCGGCGGAGACAAGAAACGAACCTCCATCGGACACAAAGAAAAACCGATCGATGACAGATCAGACCGATCGGAAGCAGCTCCACAACAGTCATGTGATCGATCAGAAGCGGATAGATCACTTCACACAGAGCCAAACGTTTGTCTGCAACTGCCTCCCGACACAGGCCGCCACACTAATAATAATAATAATAATGGATTGCATTTATATAGCGCGTTTCGGGACCCCTCAAAGCGCTTTACAATTCCACTATTCATTCACTCTCACATTCACACACTGGTGGAGGCAGCTACAGTTGTAGCCACAGCTGCCCTGGGGCAGACTGACAGAAGCGAGCCTGCCATATCGCACCATCGGCCCCTCTGGCCAACACCAGGAGGTGAAGTGTCTTGCCCAAGGACACAACGACCGAGACTGTCCGAGCCGCTCGAACCGGCAACCTTCCGATTACAAGGCGAACTCCCAACTCTTCAGCCACAATCGCCCCCCACTGTTACCATGACAGCCAGCAATTAACAAACACATTAACCTGAGGATAGTGACGTCATGAAAGCCTACCGCCCCCTCTTGACTGGCCGGAGGAAGTACAGCTGATATTCAACCTTTAGTCTTTTAAAGGGAAAAATGGATACTTTGACATCAAGGCCAGTAGTGGTTCAACTCCACAATGAGGGCGGGGCCTTTTTGTGCGTGGGTTCTCTCCGGCTTCCTCCCACAGTCCACAGTTAGTGGGGTCTGGTTAGTTAGTGAAACCGGTGGTTACCAGACTAAATTATAAATAGGGGTGGGTTTCAATAATCGATTTTTCTGACTCAAAACGATTTTAGCTTGAATAAAGTGATTTTGTTTCAATAAATTCTGAATTGATTTTTAAATATCAATGTATTTTGCCAGAATCTCAGGTCAAAGCTCACAAAACTATTCAACAACTAGCAAACCGATAAAACAGCAAATAAAGACAACTCTTTATTGTCATTGCACAGTCATACCTAGTACAGTAGCACAACAAAACGGCACAGTAACTTAAATTAAAGTGGATTTTTTTAAGTGCATGAATGGTATGAGCAAATGAATGACGTAATAAATAAAAGAATGAGTATGTTTATTGCACATTATTATTGCTGCGTGTCCTCTGGAGACAGCGAGTGCTGTACAGGTCCTTAACGGAGGGAAGAGGATGTCCGATGATTTTTTGGACCATATTAATAACCCTCTGAAATGCTGTGGTGCAGCTGGAGAACAGCACACAGATGCAGTTTGTCAGCACACTTTCAATGGAGCAGCGGTAAATGACGATCAGCAGCACCTTCTTCAGCTCCATTTTTCTGAGGATTCTCAGAAAATGAAGATGCTGTTGGGCCTTCTTTAAAACCGCCGAGATATTTGAGCTCCATTGGAGGTCTGTTTCTATGTGCACACCCAGGAACTTGAAACTGGGGACCCTTTCCATGCACTCCCTGTTGATGCTGCAGCTCAGATTTCCTCCTTCTGAAGTTGACTACGAGCTCTTTTGTCTTGGTGGTATTGAAGTCCAGGTTGTTGTCTGCACACAAATCCGACATGCTCTGGACCTCAGCTCTATATCATGTCTCGTTTCCCCCAGAGTTAATGACTGCATTGTCTGGGTGGGAACAAAGGGAGCAAAACAATCGCATGAGTGCTGCTGTTTGACTGAAGAAGAATAAAGTAGTCGTGGTAAGCCAATCACATGACCACTTCAAGATGACAAAGCAACAAGGTGACATATACCAGTTTATAAATTGTGTTGACAGGCCACGTAAAACCAGAGTCATGATAAACAATATATACACAGCGTTTGTTCCTGAATAGTTTCATCACGTTTACTGTCTAAGGACAGCGCTAGCAAGCACTCTGCTTATGACCAAACAACTTGGTGGAAAAATGCACCATGTCGACCAATCAAAAAATGATATGGCAACATGACATTTGGTTGTTTAGGAAGAGGGGGAAGTTTTAGGAGTGACAGAGAGAGAGAGAGAGAGAGAGAGTTTTGAGATGTGAGAGATTTGTGACGTTTAGCGTGTTTGAAGTGTGTAGTTAATGTGTTGTCTTGTGTAGTTAGTGTGTAGTGTTGTGGATAGTTTTGTGTTGTGTGTCAGAACAATGAGGCGACTGCTGTCTCCAGGTAGAAACAGGAGTGACACACCTTCTGCTGTCAGACCTGCAGGTATCAGGCTGTGATGTGTGGCATCTTACTGAATGCAGAGCACCTGATTGTTCTGTAAATAGTCTGAAAAGGTTATGAAAAGGGTAAAAGGTAAATGGCTGCAAATAACTTTGTTTGCAAAACTTGTGCATATGATTTTAAAATTAAAAATTTATATTTGCATTTAGTTATGAAATATGATTCATTAAACATGTTTGTGGTTGTTACAGTAAAAAATATAATTTTATGTTTTTTGTCTGATTTTAGATAAATTCTGTTAATACAGTTTGTCAAAATGAAAACATGACTGTAAATTCAGACACGTGAGGTTGTGCTGAAAAGGATGATACTAAACAAGGCAAAGTAAATCGTTTTTAAAGGTGAAATGTGGAGGTAAAATCCAAAAATCCAAATCCAGTTTATTTAGATAGCACATTTAAAAACAAAAAGTTTGCCCAAAGTGCTGAACAGAAACACAGGGTAAAACACAAGATACAACCACTGACGCTCACATAAAACATAATAAAACACATATCAACCATATCAACTCAAGCCAGTCTGAACACTATTGAAAAAAGGTGTGTTTTCAAAAGCATTTTAAAAACAGGAAACGAAGATGCCTGTCTAATATTTAAAGGCAGCGTATTCCAAAGTTTTGGGGCCATAACTGAAAAGGCTCGTTCTCCTCTACGTTTAAGCCTTGATTTTGGGACAACCAACAGCAGCTGGTCAGCTGATCTGAGGGTCCGTGAAGGAATATAAGGCTGAAGTAACTCGGAAAGGTATGGGGGAGCAAGACCATTAAGGCATTTATAAACCAGTGTTAAATGGTAAATGGTAAATGGCCTGTATTTGTATAGCGCTTTTACTAGTCCCGCCTAGGGACCCCAAAGCGCTTTACACGTCCAGTCATCCACCCATTCACTCTCACATTCACACACTGGTGGAGG